TCTGTGTGCTGTCGTGCAGACGCCATTTCTCGCCCAGAAGTGGCCTGGCGTGTTGTCGGCTCTCTCGTCGGCTGCCGAGGGTCTGCGTGGGATCGGCGAGGGCGTCAAGGGCACCTGCCGGCCGATCGGCTGGGCTAAGCCGCCGCCACCCAGACTGGGCGACGACCTGTCGGCCGACGTGTGGCGTGGGGACATCTACCCGATGCTGTCTGTGGATGAGGCCGTCTGCTCGGCCCGCCCCACCAGCAAGACACACGGCAGCCAGCTCGTCGATGAGGCCTTCATGCTCAAGCGCATCGACCAGGACCTCAACAAACACTCACTCACCGGACTCGTCGATGTCGAGCGGCCCACCCCGCCCACAGCCACAGCCACAGCCACAGGCACACCCACAGCAGCAGACACCGACCCCCCCGGTGGCCCCCCGACACACCCACAGCCGACCAGCGATGCCGTCCGGCGGTTTCGCTATCTGTCGGCGTCCGCCTATGCACTGGAGCAAGGCGGGGCGGTATGGCAGCAGATGACCGACTTCATCCACCTGGCGCACAAGTACAAGCTCATCAAGACACTGCCCCTGCGGCTGTCGGCTGATTCGCTGCCCACCGCCTCAGCATTCGACGAGCTGCCCCTCGCCCTGGCCGTCTACAAGACATTCGGCCATTTGCTCAGCTACCGGGGGACCAGCCTGGCATTGGATCGGGTGGAGAAGGACATGGAGGAGCAGGAGGACGGCGAGGAGATGGAGGACAGCGATGATGATGATGATGGTGATGATGATGAGGAGGAGGAGGACGACGACGACGACGATGCCATGGGCGATGGGGGCGAGCAGGATGACGAACAAGATGACGACATCGACCAGCAGCAGCAGGAGGGTGCAGGGGGTGATGGTGCAGAGGGGCAGCCGGGCGATGGTCATGGTGGTGGCGTGACGAGGCAGCGCTACAGGATCGGCAATGTCGACTTCACGACTGTCCCCCTCGCTGATTTGCCCCCCAACCACCCCTACTGCAGCGGATACAACCACAGCGACCCCCCCATCCGCTGGAGTGTCTATCTCTTCCCATCATTCACGGCATTCCTCAAGCGGATGGTCCTGGAGTGGTGGTGTGACCAAGAGGGGGCGGGAGAGAAGTGCGTGATTAGTGCTCATGTTGGTCGTGACGACAGCCGCTGTCGGTCCCTGCTGACGGCACCGACCATCGAGGGCTACAAGACCGTCGACTACATCAATGAGAATCCATTCGGCCCGGGAGATGACGGCCGCCGACGACTCATCATCCTCAAGGGCACAGCAGCGATCGACACCATTGTGGCCTACCTGTGGGTGGTCAATGGCGGCATCCGCCTCTGGACGACCGAGGCGCCGACAGAGGGCAACACAGACGTCGAGTGTCATCCCATTGCCGTGGCGGCCGCCCGCCCCGTGCTGGCCAAGTATGGGCTGGAGAGGACAGTGCTCCGACAGACGGCTTAGCCAACGACACAGTGGTGAGGCGGGAGGGGGGATTCGTGTGAGGGGGAGAGTAGGCGTGACAATGCCATGGCTCGTCTCATTCCTTGTGGGGTGGGGTGGAACAATGTCTGCAGGTGTCGCATCACTCTGTTGGCGGGGCAGCGGGGCGGATTAGTGCCGCTGATGAGGGGAGTGGGGGGTCGATCATAGCGCATCTCTCTGGGAGGGGGCG